AATAAAATTATACAAAATCTTATTATTCTCGAATGTTTACTAATCAATTCTAACTTCATGTACTAAGTAAACTTGTTCAGCACAAAAAAATACATATATAAACATTTGAACTTCAAACTAGTTTGACAAACTTCGGACCGAACCCGGACCGAACTCGAACTTGACTAAAAAGTTTGAAACAAAAGGTTTGAGTTCGGTTCGAAAATTGAACCGGATTCAAACTTGACAAAAGTCCAGTTCGGTCTGATCCGATAGGAGCTCTACTGTGACCTCTGTGCCACTTACTCTACTCTACCATCATAATAGATACCAAGATATTTAATTATATCTGTAGATTTTCTGGAATTGATTTAAATCTCTTCAGCATCTCTGTTTTTTCCTTTGAATTTCTTTGCCCAAATTTTCATGGCACATTCTATTTTTCCAATTAATATGTACTTTTTTTTCTATATGTACAGTTTTTTTTTTGTCTAAATTTTCGCTACATTTAATCTTCAATAATATTTTTTTTATTCTGTATATAGTGATTGATAGAAATTTTTTTTTTTCTGTGCTTAATGACCGATTTATAGGTTATCTAGCAATCTACACCTGAGATGAGGCACAACATATACAGTTGACTCTGGATATAACAAACCTTTTTATAATGAACTCACTTTATAACGAACTTTTTTAGCAAATTTATTATAGAGTTCGGTATAAAAACAGAGTAAATTCTCTATAAAGAACTTTTTAAAAATTTTTATATATAGACCCTCAGGGTTTGTTATATGCAGAGTCAACTGTATATAGATTCAATGAGTGACTTCAAGAAAAAAAACCAGATTTTGGGGCTTTTAGAATTTATTATTTACTGGTAAGTAATAAATAATAAAAGCCCAAATTGTTTTACATAGATCAAGAGAAATATGCATTCTCATTCAACCTTGAAAAACTTGGCAATGACGAAAAAATGTGGTCTGAAATTTGTCAAATTCTTTATAATTATGATTATATCCTCCTCGAATGTACTGAATTGGATTTAAAAATTTTCAATATAGAAAATATTAGAAATGAAGACGAGTTAAAAATTTTCAATAAACAATTGAGTAAAATCAGACGTGAACATTATGAAACCGTATTTTATATAACATATAATGTAGATGAGATGATTAAAAGAAAAACTAATCGTAACAACCCGATCGAAACTTGTAATACAGATTACTTGAAAAGAATCCACTTTTCATATGAACTATATACCAAATTCATATATACTGTGACATGTGAAATAAATACAGACGAATCTCTTCACAGCAGAAAATGAAATTATTCACAGTGTAGCAAATAACTATGTGAATCAAATGATTACACATATTATTGGTCCTAAATTTTAAAGAATAGTTACATTTTATTTTGATATTTAATAAAATTATATTTTACAAAGGTGTATTGTTAAGTAAAATGAATCATGTTGTGCAATTTGAATACAAATAGTTATAAACGACCGATTCGGTCCATTTGAATTTGTGTATTTTTTTTTTATAAACTTGTGTAAACATGAGTTTTGTTGGTCAAGATCAATCGTCCAATATCAGTCTTGCTGGAATGTATACCCAACTTATAATAAATAGTGTCTTGGGAATATCTATATTAATTGCATTTAGTTTCTTGAGACCACGTAATGGTATAGTGTATGCACCAAAAGCAAATTATACACTTGAGAAGAATCAAGTCTCACCAAAAATTAAAGATGGTTTGTTCACATAGATAAAGACTGTGGTTACAATAACTGATACAGTTCTTGTTAAAAAGATTGGTTATGATGCCACTATATACTTGAGATTTATTAAATTTAATAGGAATATCTTTTTATATTTCTTTATCTTTGGTACATTTATTTTATTACCTCTAAATATTTATGTGACATTCTGTGATAACGATAATAAATTTCCAAGAGTCGATAATCCACTTCAACAACTTACAGTAGCAAATATTAAGAATGTAAATTGGTTATGGGCAAATGTGACATTCACGTGGTTATTTTCTGCACTATTGTATTATAGATTGTTTAAAGAATGTAATTACCACTATGACTTACATAAGAAGTTTTTCAAGTCTAATAAGTACCAAAGATCTCTATACGCATGCACTCTGTTACTCAAGAATCTTGGTAATCACATACGTAATGATGACGATCTGAGAAATTATGTATTGTCGATCAAGAATAAATTTGAATTAAGAGAATCTAGAATCTCTAAAGAGATTGGTAACTTACCAAAACTAATTAAAAAAAGGAAAAAATATATACAAAAACTCAAATATGTTATTACACAGAGCAATCCTAACTATATCACATCCAAAGAAATAGAAAATGTTAAAAAATATACCAATAACATCGAACAATTGGATAATAATATAAATAGAATACATACTGACAAATCAGGGCGTGAACTGTTAAATCATGGGGTTGTGTCATTCACTAGAATTACAAGTGCTCATAAGTTCATGAATAGTGTATCATCATATCATTTTCTCATCTCCTTTAAGAAGTTCACCGAACTAATAATACAACTTGCTCCTTCACCAAATGATATTATTTGAAAAAATCTTTCAATTACAAAATATGGACTGATATTAAGAAACTATATTGGTCATATGATTTTCATAGTCATATGTATGTATTGGCTAGTACTATTAAGTTTTATAATCACATTTGCCCAAGTTAAAAATATTGAAACTACATTGCCATTTACACATGGTATAAGCAAAGATGTTTTCATTTCTGGATTCATGGAAACGTATTTTGCACCGTTAGTAATGGTTATCTTCTTCTTATTATTACCCGACCTGTTTCATAAAGTGGCAATGTTTCAAGGTAAAATTAGCAAGACATCATTGGATCGTTTAGTTATTGGTAAACTATATTTTTTCTTTATCCTAAATAACATCATTATATTCACAAGTGGTACCACATTAATGGATTTATGGACTAATGTTTGGAAAAAAATTAATAAAGATGATTCAGGAATTGATGACGTTTACTCGGTAATTGAAAAGACATATGTTTTAAAACAAATTACAAGTTCGATAATAAAAGTATCAAGCTTCTGGATAAATTATATTTCATTACGTGGATTTAGCACAGTATTTGATCTGGCACAAGTTACGTCATTCGTAACAAAATATATCACTCGTCTATTTATCAAACCTACACCACATAATATTCTCAAATATAAGAAACCTCCATATTTCAATTACCCTGCATATTATAATATATATCTTTTCTTTTTCACTATTGGTATACTTTACAGTATGATAGCACCTCTCATACTTGTATTTTGTCTTGGTTATTTTCTACTATCACTTATAGTATATCGTTATCAGTTAATGTACGTTTTTCTCATGAAGATAGAAACAGGTGGTATGCATTGGCCTGTGATCTTTAACAGAATAATCACATCGATAATACTCTGGCAGGTGGTAATGATTGGAGTTATGAATCTGAAGGGTGCATGGATTCACTCGTTAGTTATCATACCATTGCCAATAATTACGGTACTATTTAAAGTAATATGCTTTAGAAAATTTAATGAAAAGAATCATTACTATACAGGGAGAATGGATACGACAAACGATGAAAGTCTGGAAATATTTGAACACCCTTCTTCTAAATCTGATCTTATTAACCCAATGATCCATACTGATAATGAAGATTCCCTTTATGAATTTTATCGTGGAGAACATATTAACAAAATAAATAATAGACACTATTCATATAATACCAAGAGATTTTTATCTATTAAAATAGGTAATAATAATAATTTTATTATAGAAGTAATTAGTCGTGATTAGTAATGCGAACGGCTCGGCTCACAGCTAACATTTACTACGCCGAGCTGATCCTTCGGCTAAGCAACCAGAGCCAAGCCACTTATAAGCTGATTAATCTCAAGCCGAGCCGAGCCGTCTAATAGTAATATGGTTTTACAAAAATCTTGCTTTTCTATCTTTTTTATGCAAGAATTTTTTTTTTTTACAAATTTCTTATTAAACTTATTATTTAATACTGTAAATGAATTACTTATCCCTTAAATTGTAACACAGGCAAATTTGCCTGTGTTTTTATTAAAAAGTTTAATTTTTTTAATAAAAACTT